TTACTGGGGACCTGGCCCACAACCCAGGTATGTGCCCTGGTTGGGAATCGAACCATTGAACTGGCTACCCTTTGGTTCTCAGGCCAGCACTCAGTTCACTGAGCCACACCAACCAGGGCTAAAGAGCACATTTTTGAAACTTAATAGCACTTGGGTGGCAGCCCCATATGTGCTCTGTTCACCAAAGTGCTCCCAGCAGGAATCAGAGCCTCCTATATACTACATGTTTGATAAATGTTTGTGGAGCTACCAGAAAATTCTTCAGGTAGGGAAAATGTGCTTGCAATCGCCGGTCTAACTGCTATTCAGTTTACATTGATTTCCTCACCCTACAGTGATAAGAACAGGAGCAGGAACAAAGGGGCCAAATCCACGGACACACTTGTGGATCCCGCTGGGAGGGCTACACTGCACTAACTGGTATGAACTCCATCTGGGTCCACCCTGTGTCCAAGTTCACTAAATGGGAAACTGAAGTGATCTGAGGCAAGAGAGTATGAGAAGGATGGCAGTCAATGATTGCTGAATGAACGCACGAATGAGTTCTGCATTGCTATTACATCGCAACTTACGGCTTCCTAATAACAACAGTGCACAGGATAGGCCTGATCACATGTACTGACTTAGCTTTGGTATTTCCTTTCTCTCTTATGAAATTTTTCAAACACAAATGTAAACTAGTGACAGCATTATAGACCCTGTGTAGATGGAGGCAGACACTTAAACTGACTTATCTGCAAGTGATTTCTTTGTAAGGCTGCATCTGTGAGTAAAGAGAAGCAGTAAGTCTCTTGAGAGCATCAGGCTTGGAGTATTCCCAAGATGTCAAATCACTGGGTGGAGATATCAGGAGTGGCACATCCAGATGTCACGATTTCATCTAGTTATGATTAAATATACTGAAAAGATCTGAGATTGAGTTTGCGGTTGTTGATGTGAATAACACAGGATAGTATAATTTTTGGTTTGAAGAGTTGTCACTCAAAAGAGAGAGAATTGTTTTGCATTGTTTCACCAGGCAGGATTAGATGGAAAGATAAAAGCTTTGGGCCCTGGCTGGGTAGGTCAATTGGTTAGCGTGTCATCCTGACATGCCAAGGTACTGAGGTTCGATCCTCAGTGAGGGCACATACAAGAATCAACCAATGAATGCATAAAAAATAAGTGGAACAACAAATTAATGTTTCTTTCTCAGTTTCTCAAATCAACAATAATATAAAAAATAAAAGTTTTAGGCTCAAAATTGAGAAAAAAAATAGTTCCCTCCTTCTAATAGGTATTTGAAAACAAGCTGATGATTTTTTTAAATAACCTCTTGTTATGTGTCAGTAAATAAAAAACTTATTTGGAATATAGAATTCCATTTTCAGCTATATGATCAATGAGAGCATAGAGTAGATATTTTCAGACAAACAAAACCTGAGAGATTTTACCACCAGTAAATCCTAGTAAAAAATCCACTAAAAGATGTTCTTTGTAAATTAAACCCCCTCAAAAAGGGATGTGATGAAAAAGCAATGGTAAACAAGAAATTTGTGTGTGAATACATCTATACATTACAAAAAATGATGACTACATGATGGGTAAAAGAAAAAATTTAATGCCATACAAAAATAATATGTAAAATGTGCAAGGTGTGGTAGAATTAAAGTGTTCTAAGAACCTTCACTTGTTTGAGAGACCGTCAATATAAGGATTAATTGTACACTTTGTTGATTTCAGTATGCAAATTGTAAGGGTGAAAACAGAAATAGAAGGAAATAAATTGTAAAACATTATTACTACCCACACCTTAGAAAACAATAAACTAAGGCTCATGAAGGTGGCTGACATGACCAAGTTTACCCAGCTAGTAACTAACATGATGTGACAATGTGTTTCAATGGCAAGTTCTGTGATTTTTTTCCTTCTGTGTCATGTAGCCTCTGATTTGGGTGATACATGGAAATAGCACGTTAATCTAATGTTCAAGTCAATAAGGCAAGAACCTCACGCTGCTGCAAGAATATCTTGATATTAATAGAGCCTTGTGGTAAAGAGCTGTGCGACTTCACCCAGCAGTCCTCTTATTTCTCATATCCACTTCACTCTCACCTGTCCCCTGACCCATTAATTCCTACATTCTCCACATTATGTTTCTCCTAGGCTCTATTTTATTTTATTTTATTTTTAATTTTGATTTTAGAAAGGGGAAGAGAGGGAGAGAAACATCAGTGGGAGAGAAACATCGATTGGCTGCCTTCCCTACGTGCCGTGACTGGGGACCGAACCTGAAACCCAGGCGTGTGCCCTGCCCAGGAATCGAACCAGCAAACTTTCAGTTTGCAGGATGACGCCCAAACAGCTGAGCCACACTGGTCAGGGAGCTTTTGTTTTGTTTGTTAAAAGAGGAAAAGAGAAAGAGAAAGGGAGCCAGGCTCTAAATTTTTACTGGTTTTTCCTGTCTTCCTCCTTCCCATTAAATAACAAACTTTGTACACATTTGTATTTGTATGTATACATATGTGTAAAGATGTTTAATATGTATGAATCATTCATTTTCTCTAATTTTTCAAAATCCCAAAACATATGCTGTGGAGAGTGCTCGATTCTAAACGCATAGTTTTTATGTGGACACAGTTTGTCTGGAAGGTTTCTACGGAGATGGAAGTGCCTCATCCTACTGCAGCTCTGAACCACTGTAGCAGGTGTGTAACGTCAGAAAGCAGTCGGGCCGCCTGGGACGCGATCGGGGCACCAAATCTGAGCAGCGATGGGTGGTCCCCTGGCAAGTTGTTGCTAGAGGCAAAGGCTGTACCTCTGTTTTGTGGTAGTGATTCTCTTCTTGCCAAAATCATTTCAATTGGTTTCTACCTACACTAATTCTACTGAAGCCATGCAGGAAATTCTTCAGGGTGTGCCTAAGACTGTAGTGCAAACTCCTAGACCACAGCGAGTCGTGCTAAATCACTGTCACTGACCCACCCCCCTCAATCGAGATTGCCTGGAGATATTTCTGTAATACTTCTTGAGGTAATAAAAATTCAAGGTATGCAATCTGCCTACTAGCATACGTAAAAGCATGTAAGCCTTTGGAATGAACTCTGGGTCTCCTACCACACAACTTATCAGATGTATAAAAACAATATAAAATCAAGTTCATAGCAACTTTAACACAGGGCCAGCTGATTATATTCTGCCATTGGCATTAGCAATCCAAAGATCTATATTCTAAATGGACCATTGAAGAAAACCATACATTTTTATTATAAAGAAACGAATGGTATTTCACACTGAAAAAAATCTGCAGGATTGTGGCATTAGGCAATTCTTATATGTGGAGAAAAAGAAATCTTGAATAATTAAAACCTAAGCCAATTTAAATCACTGTTCCGCTAACCAAAAATAAAGTAACCAAGTGAGAAAGCAAACAAGAAAATATCACATGATGTTTTCCTTTTATTTCCACCCGCCCCCACCGTTCACTAAATGTAAACTGCTCCCTTGCTAACGCCACCCACCTGTTCTGATTCCCCAAAAGATAACCTAGGAAAGAAGAAAATGTTTATGGGCCTCAGTAATCCCAAAACAGGACAATCCATTTCAGAATGACTAAAACTTGACTTTTTCTGTTTCACAATTATTCATAGCTCATTGAATAATATCATTACTAAGAATGAATAAGTCTACCAAGCTTCAACTCAATTTCCTCTTTGACAAGTGCATGGAAATATGCTGATTACAACAACCAAAAACCCACTTAATTGAGCCACTGAAGATTTTGGAGGAGTGAGCTTTGTAGCAGTGAAAACATAATAAAAATAACAGATGGTATGTTAGCAGACAGTGCCAATAGGTCAAGGAGAGAAGGATAAATAGAAAATTATAGGTAAAGAATTAACAAGCAAAAGAGCTTACTGTGTGGTCTCAGAAAATGGTCCTGGCAAATCAGAGATTTAATTTGATTATTTCATGGAGCCAGATCTAGGCTCTGTTGAGCCAAAGCCCTTCTTCCCACAGTGAGGAGTACAAAGTCTGCCCGCTGGTTTACAACGCAGAGCTATTAACACCAGGCCGGGGTGGTGGAAGTGACAACACACACCCAGCAGCTCTCCTGGATGTCCTAAATAAGATTATAGCAGGGTGATAAATAATGTGACAAAGCTAATCTCCTCAGCGTTGTTCCAAGAGAGCTCCTCTGGAATGGGGTTATTTCAGATTTTAACTTAAGTATTTCACAGATAATAGATACAGATACAGATACAGACGTGACTAGCAGTTTTCTAGGCTTGGCAACCTCCCTCCATAAAAGATCAGAAGAGCCTAAGAATAAAAGATAAGTCAGCTCGAGTCATAATTCTATTCCCTTTTCCTCATCCAAAAATATCTCACGCCCGTCTGTCTTCCTGCTCTATTTTGCTTTGGAGAAGTTTTGAGATAGTTCCCCCCACCCCACGCCTCCCCTGAGCGTCTGTCTCACATGGTGCACAGCACAGAAGCCTGGACAGCCTCACGGGCCCCGCACCACACGGGCCAGTCCACGCTCCTTCCCGCCCGTTAGACAGGTCCACAGTGCGCAGGCGGCCAGCAGCTGGTTTCTCCAGGAAGCTCAGAGAACAGCTTTGGCCAATGCCTCTGCCACCAGACACTTCAGTGATTCAGCACAAGTCTTCTTTCTGGGTTCTCTTGTAAGTCACTCATGACCAAACCAAAAAGCCATAAGTTTTGTTTTTTTTTAAAAAAGGTATTTTCTTTATTGGAGCAAGTTATTGGTAGCAAAGAGAAAATAAAGCAAACCAAATAAAATAGATAAACCTGAGAACAAGCAAATCAGATTAGAAAAAAATGCGCTGCTGGCATTTAAATAAAGTAAACAATATGCTGCATTGAAATAAACTGACCCCAGGGCAAAACCTGCTGCCTTTCCGCCGCCCTGCCAGATTTCTCTGGTGCGGGGCTCGACACCGCTTCACCTCTGTGCGCTGAGAGGCTCCCAGCGGACGACACCGCTTCCGACTTACCTGGGCTTGCTTGCACACTTTCACAGGGTGAAGCGTTTGTTGGTAGAAAAGTTGATGATAAGCCTGGAGGTCAAACCAGAAGTACACACAGTTCTGCCACAACTGCAGATGGAAAGATGGAAAACGTACCTGGATTATTACCACACAATTATGAAAACTCTACAAAGCTCTAAGTTCAAAGAAAAATAACCGTTTAACTCCTTGGGGTTATCATAAATCAGGTTTAGTTTAAGATGGTTTTATCTTCTATCACAAATTGGCAACATACACAATAAGTACTGGTAATGTCACTAGGACATTATATTTATGCATGTGTGCTTCTCACCTAATTGATCGTTAAAATAGTAAGTGTTCTACTTAACAGTTGAAGAGTAATCCCATTTCCCTGGCAGGAACCCAAAATCGAGAGGTATTTTGGTATATACGGGCAAATGTACATCATAACAGAAACAAACATTACTCTTCATTTGAACCAATGAAATACTTTTCATTTGAGGCAAAGTGAAGACTTTGTGTATTAAAAAACAAAAGTAATTTTGCCACTACCAATTGTAATGTGTAATTGTTATAATTATTAAAATCAAATTAAAGGATTGATAGAAATCCACTCTGAATATAATATTTATCACATTGAACAGTTACGTGAAAATAAACTATTATTAACAGTGCAAGTTAATTTTTGTCTATCTATATTTTACATTTCAGTTTTAGGAGGATAGTGAAACAAATAAAATTATTACTGAGGTATTTAAAATGTTACTTAATGTTTAGTATGAAATTTGTTACCAGAGATCGAAATTTTAACATCAAATACAATTATTTGAGCATTGAATTATTTGAACCTCTCTTATTTTAAAATGAAGTTAAATTTTCTACCTTGTTCCCTGAATGCTCACAGAATTTAGTAAAGAAGAATCCAGATCTATTTTCTACATACAAAGATTGCAACAAATTTTCCATGTCGAATCCTCCCAAGGCACCATCTGCCGTGGTTTTAACCTAGATAACAAAACAGAAGAATATTATCTGCCCCAAACACTGTAATTTTTTTATGGCGCTGTACAACAGGGTTTTCTCAGTTCTGCCCAGCCGTCATCGCCCCCACCCCGACCATTTTATTTTTGTACCATGTATGTAATCGATGCAGCGTGTCTGCAGCTGATGGTCACATAAGGTTCATTTCTGGAGCCAAGGACAGCAGCAGAGTCGGTTCTATTTTAAACCAATCTGATCTCAGACATAGTGTCAAAAGGACTTCCCGACTTCAACTATTTTCCTGTTTCAGACGCAGTGATACCACTTTAGGAGCGTCTTCCAAATCACTGTGGGTGGTCTCCTTCCTACATGTTTACTGTTATTTTAGCCTTGAGGTGCTGCTAAAATAGCTACAAGAGAGTTATAAAAAGAACTATCTCAAGGCCTCTCAATGCTGCTCGTTAAGAGTCTTGTGTGGGGCCGGGGGGGTGTCCCTCTTTGGACATCTCACCCCATACAGGTCATCGCCTTCAGAGTGTAAATAACAGTACAAGTTCTCATAAAACTTTGCTATTTGTGGGCTTCTCTGCCAGTGATGCTGGCAACCCAAGTACCATTCTCGAAACACAGAAAGCTGGCTATCTCTCCGAGCACAGAGTTACTCTAGAGTGCAAATTTCTACATTCCTGTTAACTCTTCGCTATTCGTTGTGTGGCACTCAGACTTCCTAATCTTAAGATAACTGTGGCACAAACAATTTAGGGTTTAAATACATTTCTTGCTCTCTTTTTGTTGCAGTATCTCTCTGCCCCTCTATGGCCCTGCTAAACAAATTCTGAGGCAGGAATGTAATGTTTTCATGATGTCTAACCACTGACATTCCAAAACTAAAATATCATTACTTTCATAGCAAAAAAATCCTAACTAGAAGAAAAGGGGAACGGTTTGCTTAGAATAAAATAGTTACACGAAATTATATCTAAGTGTTCAGACTGTACCAGGACTACCAAGGTTACTACCTAAAGCATAATCCTTGGAGACTGTGAAATTGTTATGTAGAATTGGTATGCGAAACCCACATTCTCAAGGTAGCCACACTATGAAAATATCTCATAAAATGCTTCATAAAAATTCTAAGCTTCTAAAACATAACATCACATATTATTTTTATCAAGCATTACAAGCATAATAAAAACCCTACAGTGTGTTATTTTGTTTGCAACGTGTCTTCATGCTAAAACCAGAACACAGCTGTTTTTCAAAACAGTAATCAATGGAATATACAGCAACATGGTTCTACAGAAGGGAACACAGGAGAAATTTTTTGTGTAAAAGTCCTTTTGCAAGGAAAAATCAAAATGTGTTGTTTAGTAAAGAAAAAATAGTAGGTAAATCAACAATAATTCTTCAAAATCAAGGCACAGTGATGAGTGAAATAAGGAATCAGATTAATCAGTCCTTACAATACTTACCAAAGGTTCTTCTGTATAAATATATTTTCTGTCCAGCTTGGGCTTCAGACATTCAGAAATGTCAGTAAAAGATGTTAAACAAATAACTTCGCTGCTGTCTCTCCTGTGCTGTGACCTAAGTTATAGGGATGAGAACTAACTGGTCAACAAACATTGTGAACACCTTTGGTAAACATGGCATCACATAATAAAAGATAAAGTCATATGATCATCTCAATAGGTACAGAAAAAGCACTTGACGAAATTTAACTCCCATCCATGAGTAAAACTCTCAACAAAGTGGGTTTAAAAGGAATGTACTTTATCATAATAGAAGCCATAAGTGACAAGTCCACAGCTAATATCATACCCATCAGTGAAAAGATGAAAGCTTTTCCTTTAAGATCAGGACCAAAACAAGGATGTCCACTCTCATCATTCTTATTCAATACTAGTACTGGATGTCTTAGTGAGAACAATTAAGCAAGACAAAAAGTAAAAATAAAAGGCAACCAAATCAAAAAGGAAGTGGCAAAATTGTCATTATTTGCAGATGACATAATATTATATATAGAAAACCCCAGTGATCCCATCAGAAATCTTTTAGAACTAATCATCAAGTTCAGTAAAGTTGCAGGATACACACTTAATATACAAAAACCAGTTGCATTTATATACACCAATAATAAACTATCAGAAAGAGCAAGACAAATTTCATTTACAGTTGTACCAAAAGGAATAAGATACCTAGAAATAAACTTAATCAAGGAGGCGAAAAACTTATACAATATAAACTGTAAAATACTGCTAAAATAAACGAGAGAAGACATAACCAAATGAAAATACATCTCACGTTCATGCATCAAACAACTTAATTTTGTTAAGATGTCAACACTGTGAAAGGCAATCTACAGAATCAATACAACTCCAATCAAAATCCCAGTGACATTTTTGCAGAAATAGAAAAACCTATCCTAAAATTCATATATGAATTTCAATGGGCCTCAAACAGCCAAAACAATCCTAGAATCATAAAACAAGCCCTGGCTGGTGTAGCTCAGTGGATTGAGTGCAGGCCTGTGAATGAAAGGATCGTGGTTTGATTCCCAGTCAGGGCACATGCCTGGGTTACAGGCCAGTAACCAGCAAGGGAACACATGAGAGGCAACCATACATTGACATTTCTCTCCCTCTCTCCTTTCCTTCCCTTCTAAAGATAAATAAATAAAATCTAAAAAAAAAAAGATTTAAAAAAATCATAAGACAAAGCTGGAAGGCTAACGCTATTTATTTCAAAACTTACTTCAGTACTACAGTAATCAAAACATTGTGGTGTTTACATAAAGACAGATAAGTAGACAATGGAATAACTTAGGGAGCCCAGAAATAAACACTTGCCTGTAAGGTTAAATGATTTTTGACAAGGATTTCAAGACCATTCAATGGGGAAATGACAGTCTTTTCAACAAATGATCCTGGGAAATATGAATATCCAAATACAAAAGAATAAAGTTGGGCCCTTATCCAACACCAGATACGAAAATTAACTCAAAATGGATTAAATACGTACATTTAAGAGCCCATGCTATCAAACTCTAGGAGGAAAATGGGACAAACACTTCATGACACTGAATTTGGCAATGGTTTCTTAGATATGATATCAAACACACAGACAAAAAGAAATAGACAAATTGGACTTCATAAAAGTTTTTAAATTTTGTGCACCAAGAGACACTAAGAGTAAAAATGTGGCCTATGTAATGGAAGAGAACCCACAGAGAACACCTACAACTCAAAAACAAGGAAACAAACATTCTAATTCAACAGCAAGCAAGACTTGAATAGACATTTCTCCGAGAACATACACAAATGACCAATAAGCACGTGAAAAGAGGCTCAACATAACTAATCATTAAAGAGATGCAAATCAAAACTGCAGTGAGATACTACCTCACATAATCAGGATGACTAGTATATTTTAAAAATCAGGAAATGACAACTGTTAGGAAGGATATGGAGGAACTGGAACTTTTGTGCACTGCTGGTAGCAATATTAAATGGTAAAGCCACTGTGGAAACAGTATAGCAGGTCCTCAAAAATTAAAAATGGAATCACCATTTGATCCAGCAATTCCACTTCTGGATATATACACAAAAGAATTGGAAGTAGGGTCTTGACGAGATTGGTACATACATGTTCATAGCAGCATTATTCGCAGTAGCCAAAATGTGAAAGCAACCCGAGTATCCACTGATGGATGAATGCTTAAGCAGTATGTGATATACTTGTACTCACTCTATGTATATTAAATATACAGGGGTGGTCAAATGAAGGTTTACAGTTTTGTATGGAAAAGACACATGCAGGTAAGAAAATAATACAAGAATAAACTCTGTGTTTCACATACTCACAAGTATAAACCTACTTTGCCCACCCCTGTATACATACAATAAATGATTATTTAGCCCTAAAAAGGAATGACGTTCTGAAATATGGTACAACATAGATGAACCCTGAGTACACTAGACTAAATAAAATAAGACAGCCACAAAAAGACAAATAATTCCCTTTATGCAAGGTCCTGAGAGTAGCCAAAATCATAGAGACAAAGTAAAATGGCGGCTGTCACGGCTGGGAGAGGAGGGGGTGGGTTGTTATTGGTTAGTAGGCGCAGAGCTTCAGTTTTCCAAGATGAAAACAGTTCTGGAGATGGATGGTGGTGATGGCTGTACAATATTATTAGTGTATTTAGTACCACTGACCTGTACAGTTATTTAAAAAGGGTTAAAACTCGAACTAACAAGCAAAAGAGAGACAGACTCACAGACACAGAGCAGGATGAAGGTTCTGGGGAGACTGAGCAAAAAGGTAAAAGGACTCATGGACATGGACAACAGTGCGGTGATTGTGGAGGTGAGGGGGGCATAAGAGGGATAAAAGGAAATGGAAAAAATACAATAAAATATATAATGTAAAAAATAAGTAAAAAGGGTTAAGACAGTAAATTTCTTATTTTGTTTATTTTACCACAATAAGATAAAAATGAAAAAAATCAGAGATGTCATTTCAGCAGTTGAGGTTTCTTTTCCCCAAAGTTTTGCTCGTAATGAAGAGCATCCCGAAAACTGAGCATCGTGTTCCACGGTTGGCAAACCCAAAGGCTGAAGCCCAGCAGTGAGGATGCAGTGGAAGCAAACCGTCCTCGCACATGCTGCAGTCTGACTTAGTCTTTTTGTTTGCACATAAAAATTTCTGTAATTTGATTAAGATTATCCTAGACTACCAGTGCTTAGGTAAAAGAAGAAACAATTCATTACAGAAAAATATGTCAACCAAAATCTCAGATAAATTCTACAAACATTTCGAATGGAAGACATAGCTTAAAATTAACCAATATAATACATAAGAGTGGACAAGACAACAAGAACAAAATTTATCTTAAAATAGAACCATAGAGACTCACAGGAACTTTAGATATTGAAACTATCAGACACAGACTTTGAATAACTGTGATCTAGGGAATTAAACAAAAGACTGAGAATTTTGGCAAAGAACTGGAAACCAGGAAGCATACCATAACAGACCTAAAAAGAGCCAAAGATAAATTATAGAAAATACAATAACTGAAGGTACAAACATTAATTGTGACTAATAACAGATTAGACACAGTTGAATGGAGAAACAGTGAACTAGAAAATAAGTCAAAAGAAAATGCCCAGAATAGGATGGAATACAAGACAGGGAATGAGAGAACAAATTAAGAAGGTCTTACATACATTTAATTGGAATCCCAGAGTAAGAGGAAATAAAGAGTAACATTACAAGAGATAACAGGTGATCATTTTCCAAAACTAATGAAAAACATCAAAAAGCCACAGATTTTTTATTAAGTTGGCACTGTTACAGATGTCTCCCATTTTCCCTCCTTCCCCCTCCACCAAGCTTCTGATCCACCCTGCCCTACCCCAGCCTTCACCACATTACTGTCTATGTCAACGGACTTTGCATATATGCATATGCGTACTTTGGCTCATCTCTTCCAGTCCCCATACCCCCTCCCCTCTGAGATCTATGAGTCTGTTCCATGTGTCCATGCCTCTGGCTTTATTTTGTTTGTCAGTTTATTTTGCTTATTAGATTCCACGTATGAGTGAGATCATATATTTGTCAAAGCAGGTTTAATAACCCTGAGTTGGACACAAAAAAGTAAACCTACACCTAAACATATTAAAATTATTAAAAACAAAATACAAAGGTAATACTGAAACAGCTAGAGAAAAAGCATATCTTCAAAAGAAAAAGAATCAGCCTAACAGCTAATACAGTAGTTCCCCCTCATTTATGGTTTCTCTTTTCTCAGTTTCAGTTATTCACGGTCAGCTGCGGTCTAAAAATATTAGATGGAAAACTCTAGAAATGAACAATTTATAACTTTTAAATTGTTTGCTCTTGTGAGTAGCATGACAATGTCTCACATTGTCCTGCTCTGCCTGATCTGGAACACAATCACCCCTTTGTCAAGTGTATCCATGTTGCGTATGCTATCCATCCATTAGTCCCTCAGCAGCCACTTGGCTTTCAGATCGACTGTCATGGTGCCACAACACTTGTGTTCAAGTCCCCCTTAGTGCACTTGGTAATGGCCCCAAAGCATAACAACAGTGATGCTGGCTAATGAGATATACCAAAGAGAAGCCATAAAGTGCTTCTTATAAATGAAAAGGTGAGTAGAGAAAAATGAGATACTTTGGGAGAGACCCCATTCACCTAACTTTTGTTACAATATACTGTTGTAACTGTTCTATTTTATTAGTTTTGTTGTTAATCTCTTACCATGCCTAATTTGTAAATTGGGCTTTCTCATGGTGTGCATGTGTGGAAAACAGTATCTATAGGGTTCTATGCTATCCAAGTTTTCAGGCATCCACTGCAGGTCTTGAAATGTATTTTCTGTGAATAAGGGGGGACTGCTACATGTAGACAGAAACACTGGAAGCAAGAAGATAACAAAATAGTATCTCAAAGTTCTGAAAGAAAATAAGTACCGATCTATAATTCTGTACTCAGCAAAAATATTTAACGGCAGTTTTCAACAGGTGTGCCATGGCACATGGTGTGTGGCAAGAATCGTTAAAACATGCAATATCTGACTGTTCAGTCGGGGGCACTGACCTCTTTCCCTCAGATGGTCAAATGAAAAAATGACAGCAGCCAACACAGCGATAGACGTCCAGTGTGAATGAATTAAAACTATACCTACTTTCTGTCAAATCAGCAAAAAATATATTTTTTGGTGTGCCGCAGAATTTTAGTAATTAGTTTATGTGTGCCATGAGAAAGGTTGAAAATCACTGATAGTTAAGAATGAAAGTGACCACGACATAAATGAATCTTGAAAACATCATGCCAAGTGAAAGATGCCAGGAACAAAAGGCCACCTATTATGAGGTTTCACTTATATGAAATGTTCAGAACAGGCGAATCCTTAGAGGCAGAAAGCAGGTGAGTGCTGACCAGGTGCTGTGGGAGAAAGACAGGGGGGTGATTACTAATGAGGCGGTACTTCTTTTAGGGGTGATAACATGTGCTGGAATTATATGTGGGAATGGTTTCATAACATTGTAAACATACTAAAATTGCTGAATGGTACACTTGAACACGATTTAAATGGTGAATTTTATGTTATGTGAACTTTATCTTGGAAAAAAACGAGAGTAAAAAAGAAACTAATGAAAGTGATCAACTATTAAACACAGAATTATTCACCAGCAGATCCCACACCAAAGTTAACACCAAAGTGTATTTTTTTCAGGCAGAAGAATAATAATCCCATTTTAAAAAACATAAGAAAAAGGATAAGTATGTGGGCCAATATAAATGACTAATATACTATATTAAATAATGATAATATTTTCAAGAGATTTATGAGTTCTCTCGAAACTCATAAATTTAGCGCAATACTGAAGCACTAAACAGGGCCAAGTAAGAAAGAAGGGCAAGCTTCTCAGAGAAGTCACTGTGCGGCTGATGAGCAACTGGAGGTCAGAAGCACCACCTCTTGAAAATGCTAATCGCAGGAGTTCCACTCCTTATTTAAAGTGTGCGGGGAAAGTATTAAGCCCCTAATACCTATCACTAAAATGTAAGAAAATCAATGTGTTGGTTTTCAATTTCTATTCAATTTTTCGATTAAAAAAAAATCTTACCATTGCAGAGAAGCACCTGGCACATAAAAGGCTGCACCTACCCTTTCTCAGCCATGTCGTCCTTAGAGGAAACTGAATACCAAGTCTCGCTCTTCCAAGGTTTCTGAATTGCGCTAGGTGGTTTCTTGGGAGATTTAGAAAGTTGTACTAAACTGGGTTCTTCTTTCTGACAAGTGGTAAAATAATGAACAAAGTAAAAGTGAGTAAATTGGAAAAAAAAAAAAAGGTAGGTAGAGAAGAAAAACAGAGCTTTGCCCACATACCTAACATTTGCTTTGGTTACTAGAGAATTTATTCCCTCACTCCACCATCTACTCTTCTTCCCACTATAACAAAATCATTGTTCTTCCCACACGCCTGCTTTTATGAAACCGGCAACTGAAACCCCTATTGCTATTTAGCTTCTAAGAAAGGAAAGGCCAAAGGCTTTGATTTCCTTACATCATTGTGAAAGAGGACTCTTTCCTGGAGGAAGAACTTGAAGAGGACTATGAAGATTATGACACATGTGGAAAAACACTGATAATAATAAAAAGACATAATCAGAACACAAAAGTATAAGGGCTTTAAAACTGAAGTTTCACAACAAGCCTAAGAGAAAATAAATAAATTAATACTGGATTAGCCAAAAAGCTCATTTAGTTTTTTCCGTAAAATAAAAAACACATTTTTTTGGTTTCACCAATACCATCAATTTGGTTATTTTGAGTATGTCGGCTCTCTCTCTCCTGTGTGGTGCAATGTTGATTGTTCTTAATTAAAGTCTCAATTTGATCACTGTCAACTTCAGCTGGTCTACCCAACTGTGGAACATCGTGCAGTGAGAAATCTCCAGCAGGAAATTTGCAAACCACTTTTGACCCACTGGTTTGGTCAGGCATAGCACCTTCTCTATACACTGCACAAATCTTTTTTTGCATTTCAGTTGCATTTTTACTTTTCTTGAAATAATGAAGCATAATATGCTGAAAATGTTATATATTTTCTTCCATCATCAATATTAAAATGGTTGCACAAAAATTCACCAATTTTGATAAGTTTTTTAATACATGCTAATAAGACAGCTGTCACAATAAAATGGAACAAAATTGTTTTGAATGAAGCTTAAGATAACTAAGCACTACTAGAGCCATCATACAGAAAAAACCAAATGAACTTTTTGGCCGACCCAATACTTGTCTAGAAGTAGGTGAGATCAGAACAATTCGTTTCTTCAGTTTCCAAATTTACAGTAGTTTTATTATTTTTATAATTGAAAAAGAAGGGTAAAGTTTTATTATTTGTCCACTTCCATTAAAATTCAAATGTAATATATGTCTCTGGAGAGCAAGAAATATATTTTTGAGGTTTTTACTATCTAGAAAAAATAATAAAATTATATATATGTGTATATATAATGTGTGTGTGTGTGTGTGTGTGTGTGTGTGTGTGTACTCTAGTTTCTTAACAACTATGTGTTTTACAGAATTCCACAAACAAAATTCATTGCTTAGGTATGTTTTACATAGAACTTCCTCAGTATCAGGGATCACATCTGTTTTAGTAACTCAGAACACAGCAGGACATTAAGCAGCACTCAATAAATAAGTGGTACCACAGGGAACTGAGCTTATTAAATGTCTGTCCTACGAAGGAAACAGCTTGGGTGTCCCCCCATAGATGAATGGATAAAGATGTGGAACATATACACAATATATTACTACTCAGCCCATGGACAAAAACAGTGGACAGCGGGAGAGGACTGAATGTGGGAGGTGGGGGGTGGGTAGGGCAGGGGAGAGTAATGGGGGGGAAATGGGGACAACTGTAATTGCACAATAAAAATAAAAAAATTAAAAGATAATAGACTAAACAAAACATAAATAAATAGAAACATAAGTAAAGATGTTTGCTTTTTAAAAACCTGGAAATAAGCGTTTGTGTCAAAGGAAGTAAAAGAAATAGTTTCAAATTAGAAGTGACTGTAGATAATTCAAACACATTTTAACAATTAAGGCATGTCCAAATAAACTGCCAGCTTCTAAAACCAATTTAACTTTTTTGGGGGGAGAGGTGATGGGAGGACAAATATCAATGTATAAACAAAATTAAAAAGTTGATCCACAAGAAAAAAAGAAGGAAATCTTGCCATTTGCAACAACATGGATGGTGCTAGAGGGTATTACGCTAAGTGAAATAAGTCAGAGGAGGACAAATACTGAATCATTTCACTTATATGTGGAATCTAAAAAACTAATCAAATAAAACAGACTCATACAGTATAAACTGATAGTGGCCAGAGGATTGGATGGTGGGGATGGGCACAAAGGTGAAGTGGATCAGGAGGCACAAACATACAATGTAATGTGGGTAAGTCACAGGGATGAAGTGTACAGCACAGGGAATGTGGACAACACCACAGTAACTTTGTGTGGTGACAGTTATGAGACTTCTCATGGTGACCATGTCATAAGGTACATAAATGTCAAGTCACTATGTCATACACCTGAAACTAATATTATATTGCATGTCAACTATACTTTAGTTAAAAAGAGCTTTACGCTCCAGAATAAAATTTTTTAAAAGTGTATCATGTAAAAGTGGCCAAATTCATAGAAACAGAAAGTGAATGGTGGTTACCAGCGGCTGGGGGAGTAGCAAAGAGAGTTGTTCTGATGGGTGCTTAGCTGCGTATTCCCTTAATGAAAACAGTTCTGGAGAGCCATTTCACAACAACGCGAACATATTACTTTTGAAGTATACAAGTAAGATAGCAATTTTTCTGTTATGTTCTTTTCCACAATTAAAAAAGTTTTTTTTTAAGTTTTTTAAGTATATTATGTAGTATGAGAAAAGCCTAGATTGGAATTTTTGAGCTTTCTGGCTCAAGGGGAAACGAGAAGAGTAGCCAGAAAGTTACTGATGGGGAAAACACCTGACAAACAGGTGCAGTAAAATAGGGGGAGGTGCGTACAGAAAACGTTCTTGGCTGTGATCGTGATGGTGGTAACACAATGTATATCCTTGTCACAATTCACAGAAATGTACTCTAAAAAGGATGGGGCTTATAGAACATAAATTATACCTCAACTTTTAAAATGGGAAAAATAAAGAATCAGAGTGTTTTCTGCCAAGGAAAACAGAGTGAGATCAAAATGAGTCATCAACCAGAAAACATCAGGGACAACACATGGTAATGATACTCAGGAAGCCAAGGAACAGAACAGAGGAGAGGCCAAAGTCATGTCTATACCACTTCTTACATGGGCCAGTCCCTCCTCACTCCTTCAACGCTGCTCTCTTATTCAAGTTCCTTTCATTAACCACACCACTTACCTTTTCTTCCACCTCACCTCTCAAATGTTGTACAGATATCATTTGTACCAATGTTTACATGTTATGAGATGACATGCTCCCTATACTACACCTCTACAATATGTACTGACTTAGTGACCAGGTCACTAACTTACATGGGCTATCAGGGAAGATTAGATTTACCAGTGGAGTGGCATACAAAAGAGGCCACAAGGTCAAAAGTCAGGAAAATGTCAAGACAACAGACAAGAAACCATTAGTGTACTAAAGTGACACGAATTCAAGTGTAGTCCCCAGACCAGCAGCAAGAACATTGCCTGGGAGGGAATTTGTTAGAAATGCAAATTCTTGGCCCCACCCCAGACCTATGGAATCTTGATCTATAAGTGGAGCCCAGGCTAAACAAAGAATCTTAAAAGCATCAAGAGAAAAGCAGCTAGTTACCTACAGGGAGTTCCCTTAAGACTGTCAGCTGATTTCTCAAAAGAAACTGCAAGCTAGAAGGAATTGGCAAGAAATATTCAAAGTCATGAAAAGCAGGGACCTACAGCCAAGAATGCTCTGCCCAGCAAAGGTATGAATTAGAATCGAAGGGCAGATAAAAAGCTTCCCAGACAAGAGAAAACAAAAGGAGTTCATCATCAACAAACCATTATTACATGAAATATTAAGCGGGCTTATTTGAGGAAAAAAAGATCAAAACTATGAACAATAAAATGACAATAAATACAAATATATCAGCAATTGAACCTAAAACACAAACTAAACAAACGAGAGGAAGAGAGACAGAATCATGGATACAGAGAATATTTTGATGGTTGCCAATGGGAGGAAGGTGTGGGTAAAAAAGTGAGGGGATTAAGAGGTATAAATAGGTAGGCACAGAATAGTCATGTGCATGTAAAGTCTTTGGAGTAACCAAAGAACTTATACACATGACTCATGAAAGTGAACAAAAATGTGGAGATTGTCTGAGGGAGTGGGGAGGTGCTGGGTGGGGGGAATTGGAACAACTGTAATAGCATAATCATTAAAATATAATTAAAAAAACTAAAAGCTCTTCAGATTACTGTTCCATATGCTGAAGATCCACCAGCCCATAGCAGTGCTTTAAATATGAAACACCTATGTATCCTATTAAAACGTAGCTTCTAAAAGGTGGTTCTAATGTTCAGACAGGTTGAGAACTGCTGTTCTAAGCCAACCCCCTAATTTTACAAAGTGACTCTGACCCTTTCCAGATCAATTAAACCAGAATCTCCGAGGGCGGAGTCTGTGCGTTGATACACTTTAAATGCCCTCCACGTGATCTAATGCACATGTACCTCAGCAAGGTTGTAAAGGCTCTCTAGCCCTAAAACACTACTTGTCTAAGTAAAACTTTAAAAACTACATTACACGTCTTCCTTCCTTTAAAATAAGATGTCCTAAATATAAAGCAATCCTTTCTAAAGGGGTTGTTTGTGACTATTACCAACAGCACAACATTCTGTCACATGTTTAAAGGCTATTAAGATTAATAAGGCTGCTTCTGAAAAGTGGAACTTAGCTACAGCTAGTGCACCTCTGCACCAAAGTGTGTAGCAGTATTTACTTCTTCTGTAAAAGTTGGCTAAGTTTTCTTCTCTTTTTGAACTTTTTTCCCTTATCTTTTCATACTACTTTAATCTTTTCCAGTGTGAAAGAATGCTCACTACTTGTTATTCTGCTGTTGCTCCTTCTCACTCATTTATTCAATTTATATTTATTAAACAACTATCATGTGCCAGGCACTACTCTAGGCACTGGGGATGAACTGTTAGTGAAGAAACGTCTCATATTCTGGCAGGAGGTGATGGGCGATGAACAAATTATGTGGTCCTTCCTACAATAAAGCAAAACAAAGCAGAGCAGAGGATGTAGGGACGGAGGGCATCATGCTGTCCTACACCAGTGGGTCAAGGAAAGGGTCAAGGAGAGCCTCTCCAGATAAGTGACCGCTGAGCAGACACGGAGAGCGAGGGAGCAGCAAGCCGTGCAGACATCTGGGGAAGGGTGCTCTACACATAGGGAACGGCAAGGGCAGAGCTCCTGCGTTTTTGGTGGTTGGTGGCTCAGAGAAAGCCAAGAGGCCACAGTGGGGGGAGTGGAGTAAGTCAGAGGAGCGCGGCAGGGAATGGGGTCAGGGGGTAGCAGAGGTGTGTGCAGCCGTGTGGAGATCTTGGATTTTTATTCCAAGTGAGCACAGAGGCCACAGAATCTTTAGCAAGTGCATCACATGATCCTGTATTTTTAAAGGATCATTTTGGCTGCTTGGCGGAGAACAAATTATAGGTTTTCTTACTTCCTGATTATTGCAGCACACGTGTGAACAACCAAGAAAAAAAAAAAGAGGGAGGGAGAGAGAAAGAGAGAAGCTTGTGATGAAACTTAGTGCACAAAATCCAAGCATGGACATTTTACTACAAGCTTAATAAAGAGATGTAAGTATCAATGTACCCCCTACCTGTATATCAGATATATGTGGAATGCAAGACTTGGGTCTTAAAGGCAAGAGGGTTGGTATTTGTGGGAAAGGATCCACATCCTTCCTTGGTTTCTCTTGGCGGAGGTGCCACAATTTCAGTTCAGCACTAGCATGTTTTATTGCGTATGAATGGGTCACGCAGAATCTCGGTGCCCTAGAGAGAGGAAAAGAAATGCACACTCAAACTACACGACACGCCTCAAAAACCGAGAGCTTACCCGGTGTATAATACTCATGCTCGTACATATCCGTCTCGCCATACCCCTTTTCTGATAATTGCGACTTCTTTTTCTGCTGCCTAGCTTTAAAAAAATATTCTCCTGCGGTACATCAACTGCCTGAAATCACATTCACATGTATAAAGAGCCAATAGACACTCATACAAAGAAGAAAAAATAATTTAAAAATTACATTCCAATTATCACCTACATAAGGAAAATAACCTATCCACCCATTTCATGAAGGAAAATCTAAAACTAAACTTAGAGTTTCTAATAAAATGAATACAAAATGCACCTGCGATCATTGTAAGACAGGTTAGTATTTACCTATGGTGCCAAATAAAAACCAGTAGATAAAATTAACGCTTTAAACATGCAAACACTTTATAATGCTTAAAGTATACTGCTAAAGGGGATTATGATTCATATGATTTATTTTCAAGCCTTAAATGTGAAGGCAATAATTAACTTTATAGTAATTTATATAAATGAAAGAGCAACACCACTACCAGAAGCTTAGGGAGGAGAATGTCTGGCACACTGTCAAGGCCACACTTCACTGGGTGGACACCCTGGTGTTCAGTCTGAGGGTTAACTCTTTATGGGCCTTAGGGTTAACTCCATCTGTCAGGGACCGTTGCTAATTGTTGGTTTTCCCCCCAGCGCCATAACACAAAGACCGATTCCCATTCCCTATTTTAGGGATCCTGGTAGAAAATTACTTCCCATTAAAAAGGAAGAAGGTAAATATTTACCTGAAGTGAACACAGTTTGGGAGTGGAAGAGAATCCAAAAATTAATCATTAGTTTAGGATCAGAATGCTTCCTGTAAAGATTAGGGTGGTCATTTTACACTGTATTTCAGAGCCTACACTTGCAGACTTGGAAATATTCAAAATTACCTCTTATTTGGATGTCAACCAGTAAGTGGGCATATATACAACATCCTCATCAAATAAATTGTAGGTATGCTGGCCACAAAATCCAAGTGTCTCAATTTTCTGATTCCCAACTTTATAGTATATTCATGTGACCCTATGCGTCTCTGCTGCCCCTACCATTTAAACCTCACATTGTTATCTCACTCATTGCACTAATTTCTGTTAGCTACTACGTGAACTCATCAAATACTTTAGAATAAATTTCAGTCAATCCTAAACTGCTGTTGTATTATTTTTCATGCTTCCATCATACAAGTTTTCATTACACCACTTATTATACACATCTTAATTCTCAAGCTCTGGAGAGTGGGAGAAGATATTGTATGTGCCACATAATACCATTAAAGAAACTGTATATATGTGTGTATGTATATATATTCATACAGGTGTGTATGTATGTATATATACATGCATATATATGTGTGTATACATACATACATATATATATATATATATATATGGGGGTAGTGTCTTCCAATAGGAAAATGGGCAAAGAAGATAAATAGGCAATTCATGAATTTATGAACACTGAAATGACAAATCCAAATGACAAATAATCATTGAAAAGGTTATCAACCTACTAGTACTCACAGAAATGCAAGTTAAAACCAGAAGACATCAATGACACACTGGACACAATTAAAAAATTTAAATATGACAATATTAAATTCTATCATATATTGTAGCAATGGGTACTCTCATATTCTGTTTGTGGGAGCATAAGTTGGTAAAACTAGTTCAGAAAAATAGATACATATACAAGAATATGCATTACAGCATTGCTTGTAATTGTGAAAAGTAGAGAACCACCCAAATGTCTAAAAAATAGCAAATAAAATAAGGTATATGAGGTCTGTCTGGAAAGAGTCCAGCCATTGTTAAATAATGAGAATGGTTTGCATGCCATAGATATGACCTGGTAGCCAAGGAGAGTGGACTGGAATGCACATGCATGAACAATGATGACCTCACTGTACTAATCAGTGGGGGCAGTAGAGTCTATTGACTGAGCCTGTGTACTGTGTGGCTGTTGCATTCAAAATGACTGAGAAAGTAGCACAACAAATCTGCATCACATTTTTCGTGAAGCTTGAACATTCCTCCACAGAAACTATTCAAATGATTCAGAAGGCTGTAGCTATAGACAACTGATGACTGGCAGCTTCATCGATACTGTGTCCATTCATGTATCATGTCCTGTGCAGAGTTTTTTTGGTGGAACATCAAATCACCCAGATGACTCGGCTCCCTTACAACCCAGGTTTGGCTCCCTGAGACTTCTGGCTTTTCCCAAAACTAAAATTACTTTGAAAAGGAAGAGATTTCAGACCATCAATGAGATGAAATTCAGAAAATTACAGTGGGGCATCTGATGGTGATTGGGAGAACTGTGTGAGGTCCCAAGGTGCCCATTTTAAAGGGGAATGAAGTGTCATTGCATTGCCCTATGTACAATGTTTCTTGTATCTTGTATCTTCTTCAGTAAATGTCTCTATTTTTCATATTACATGGCTGGATATCTTCTGAACAGGCCTCACATTCATGGAATGGAATACTATATACAGTAATGAAAATTAATAAAACTCTTAAAAGCAATCATTAGACACAAAGGATGCAACAACAGGGTTCTTTATACAAAGTTGTAAAGCAGGCAGATGAAAATACATGTTTAGAGATTTAGTTGCCTATACCATTGGTAAAACTATAATGAAAAACAAGAAGATAATAATCACAAAGGTCAGGATAGTGGTTACCGTGGAGGGGGAATGAGGATGTGACCAGGAAGGGACCCTCAGGGGTTTTATTAATGTTTTATTTCTCAGCCTACATGGTGGTTATAGAAGTGTTTGTTACATAATATTCACTGAAAGGTTTAAGCCTCAATTTAAAATTTAGAGACTACACAAGATCTTGCAAGATCAAGAAAAAAGGCCCAACAAAGGCCCTGGACTGGATGGCTTCACAGGAGAATTTTACCAAACATTCAAAGAAGAACTAGCTCCTCTCCTTCTCAAACTATTTCATAAAATTCAAGAAGGAAGGCTCTCAAACTCATTTTATGAGGCCAGCATTATCCTAATTCCAAAACCAGAAAAACACAAAATGAAAGAAACACAAAGAAAGAAAATTATAGGCCAACATCCCTGATGAACACGTATGCTAAAATCCTCAACAAAGTATTGACAAACTGAATATAGCAATGCATCAGAAGGATAATACACCATGATCAAGTGGTATTTATGCTGTGAAAGCAAGGTTGGTACAATATCCACAAATACATAAATGTGATTCACCACATAAACAAAATGAACAATAAAAACCCCATAATCATATCAATAGATGAAGAAAAAGCATTTGATAAAAACCAGCACCCACTTATGATAAAACCCCCAGCAAAGTGGGATTAAAGGGAACATAACTAAACATAATAAAGGCCAAATATGACAAACCCACTGCCAGAATCATACTCAATGGGCAAAAACTACAAGTGTTCCCCTTAAGATCGAGAACAAGACAGGATGTCTGCTTTCACTTCTCTTATTCAACACAGTACTGGAAGTCCTAGCCATAGCAATCAGACAAGAAGACTTAAAAGGTACCCAGATTGGAAAGGAAGAAATAAAACTGTCATTTGCAGATGACATGAAAGTATACACAGAGAACTCCAAAGATTCCATCAAGAAACTACTAGAACTGATCATGAATTCAGCAAAATAGCAGGACACGAAATTAATATCCAGATGTCAGCTGCATTTTTATGTGCCAGTAAAGAACTAACAGAAAGGGAAATTAATAAAGCAATCCCATTCACAATTTTGACAAAAAATAAAATATGAAGGAATAAACCTAACCAAGGATGTAAAAGACTTTTACTTGGAAAATTATGACACTGAATAAAGAAACTGAACAAGATACAAATAAGTGGAAGCACATACCATGTTCAGGGATAGGAAAAATCAACATCATTAAAATGTCCACACTACCCAAAGTAATCTATAGACTCAACACCATTCCTATCAATATTCCAATGACATATTTCACACAACTAGAACAAATATTTCAAAAATTTATATGGAACCACAAAAGGCCCCGCATAGCAACAGCAATCCTGAGAAAGAACAAAGTTGGAGGAATCACACTCCCTAATATCAAAATATACTATAAAGCCATAGTAATAAAAATAGTATGGTCCTATTTGGTATGGTACCATGATGTGGTATAACTTGTAACTAAACTGTAAGAAAAGTGAAAGCAGGTAACTTTGAGTCATATTATTTTTCTTACCAATATAGAAGTAAGGGTTTTACAACCTCAGTCTGAATATTTCTCAAGTGTTCATTATTCCACTGAGATCCATCTAGCAGTTTAAATTTTGTTAAGATTTCTGTAGAAAGGTAGTAATCACCACTGCTCACTAGATAGCGCTTTTTCATCTTCTCAAGATGTCTGCAAGAAAACACATACACACATGGACACAACAGTCAGCTAGCCAAGTATTTTCACTTCTAAAACGTTTGAGACAAGTAGTGAATGACCTCAAAACCAATGGTAAGTTACAGGGGTACCAGCGTGGAGACGGAAGTGCTTTCCCCCAGTCATGGGAATGGGAAGGGTATTTTTGGCAGGTTGACCCATTGGCCTTGCCAAGACGTCCATGCTGTCACCCCCAGAACCTGTGAGTGTCACTGTGCCTCAGCAGAGATTCTGCAGATGCGATTAGGGTTTGGAGATTATCCTGGATTAGCTAGGCAGCCCTAGTGTAATCAAAAGGTCCTTCTAAGAGGGAGGAAGGAGGGCCAGAGTCGTAGAGACAGAAGGTGAGAACAAAAACAGAGAACAGAGAAAAGAGACAGTTGTGTGCTGGTGGCTTTGAAGATGGAGGAAGGGGCCAGACACCAAGGAAAGTGGCTGGTCTTCAGAAGCTGGAGAAGGCAAGGAAATGAATTCTCCCCTAGGGCCTTTGGAGGAATGCTACCCTACATACCCATTTTAGACTTCTACCCTCCTAACTGTAGGAGAATAAATTTGTGTTGCTTCGAACCAATAAATTTGGGGTAATTTGTGACATGAACAATAGGAACTAATACAATCTTGATCCTCAAGAACCTGTGTAGGTTGCTTGCATATAACTTCCCTAATATGTCTTGGAAAGTGCTGGTGGCCTTCCAGCCCAGGGTCAGTCAGGTCATACTTCATAATCAGCCATTTGGCAACCCCTGCTCTTATAACTGTGTACAACAACGATCTGAATGCCAGTGAAGTAGTTGGCATGACCCTGTCACGAGAACATACTCTGTCAAACCCTCATGGGAACTGCAACCTTCTATAGCTGGTCTACTTCACAGCAGATCCTGGAAACCCAGACAAGAGAAGGACTTTCCTAAAGCAGACCCTTCTTAGGGTTCTCAAGACTCACAGGAAACTAAAACCTATGGAGCAATCAAACAAAGGCCTGCACCCGATCAAGCCCTCCAAGGGGCTCTCTGGAAGATAGCCAGTACGATATCTAGCAGATATCTCATTCAGATATAAATTTCTAAGTGGCATCCAATTAAAGATCATGGAACTTGGTAACCAAGCAGGCTGCTAGGAACAGTCAGCCCTTACATGGTCACAAGGTATGGCTTACATAAGGCACCTTATGCCAGTGTGGTATATAACTGATCACTTTTTCCATAAAAATATATCACTGCACTGTAATAAAAATAAAACAGAGTGATTAATTTGAAAGCAGGTTTAGAAATTATGGGAAGAAACTCAGGCAAAGCCAACTAATTGCTACTGTTAGTATTTGAAAGCTTTGAAATCATATTAGTAGTGAAATTAATGTTATAGTAAATTATAGTATTCATTCCTCCAGAAGTGTGAATTACATTTTTATATTTATTTCCAGCTTTCTGCCTGTACTTGAATGACCCAAACTAATATTCCATAATTTGTTTCTAAAACAACTAAAATATAAAAAATAGAAATACCTTTGATGTCTTCCAGCATCCTTAAGAACTTTTAACCTCTCAATATCCATCCATAGCCACCAATATTTCTCCCCTAATGTACCTTTGATAAATTTCTTAAATCTCTCGAACTCCTTTCGGTTGCCAATGTCATAAGTTTTGTGAGAAACGCACCAATCAGCTCTGCTTTCTGACCCAACACTCTCACTCTTTGAACTTGTTTCTTCTAATATTTCTTCTGCCTTTTCCTCAGGGGGTGGTGATATTTCACTGTACAAAACATTCTTGTCAGAAGCAAGCTCAGGATACTCATCAACTACCACTTCTGTTACATTTTTGAAGCTTATAAAATCCTGGCTTTCTATAAATGGCTGTCCAAGCATTTGATGAATTGCTGTTTTCAAACTAAAGGTTATGTAAGATCTTAAAAATTCTTCACATGTCGAGAAATGCAATGTCGGGCTTTCGCCGACACCCGGTTTCTTCTCAAGGTATATTCTCAGAAGCGCTTGAGAAGGCGTGTCTTGTAGCGAGACAGACCCGTCTTCTTCTTCTTCGACCTCTGAAATTACTCCAGTGCTTTTAGATGGGTGCTTGTTCGTCCTGGGGTGGATTCCATCATCAAAAATAAAACTCTCTGTATTAAATTATAAAGGCTATTAGATCCAATATGAATACAGAAAACTTTTTTACTATTAACCAGATGTTATAGACCCAGGATGGCAAACAAGTTTATTATCACTGGGAGTCACTGCAGGGACCACGGTCTTAAAGACCGTCTTAAAGAGGAGTCTAAAGCCACATTTGGGACCAGTAGAGGACAAACTTCCAACAGGGATTAGCCATGTCTTCACTGGACATGGAAATGGGTAATGGAGGCAGATGGATGAAATATCTGACATCCCTAATACAGAGGACCTCCAAAAGGACATGAACTTTAAAAATATAATATTTCAGGCTGATATAGAATGTCAATATATAAAGGCCAATTCTATCAAAGAACTAGAATTTGTACATTAAACAATTGTATGTGCATAGCTTGTTTCACTGTTTTTCACAAATTGAAGGTTTGTGGCAACTGTGAGTGAAACAAGTCTATTTGGCATCATTTTTCCCAACAGCACTGGCCTGGTTCATGTCTCTGTGTCACATTTTGGTAATTTTTGCAAATATTTTGAGTGTTTTCATTATTACTATGCTTGTTATGGTTGACCTGTGATCAGTGATCTTTGATGCAGTAACATCAAAGGGCAAGTGCCTCCACCAGCAAAAACTTCAGGACTCACAGAGGTTCTGAGGATGGTTAGCATTTTTTAGCAATAAGGTATTGTTAATTAAGTTATATCACTGTTATTTTAACATAACGTTATTGCACACTTAATAGACTACAGTATAGTGTAGTCTATCACATAACTTTTATATGCACTGGGAAACCAAAAAAGTCATGTGATTCATTGTGATACTTCATTGTGCTTGTTTGGAACTGGACCTACGACATCTCCAAGGTATGCCCATGTGTGCTTTAATGTGTCATGTTGTACAATGAGTTACAATTGGTCACCACAAATGGTGAAACCATAGATGAACAGATCAAAACTGGAGTCAGGTTCCCAAAGGTTAAACATTGACTCTTTCATCAGAAAGATTCAATTACTGTCATACTTATCACTTAACATTATAACTACAAAATGGCATAAGCTATTTATAAAAGCTAACAAATACAAAGAAATTGTTTTTATACTTTTTCCAAAGATAGAGCCTTTGGCTCCTATGGTCCCTTTCTTTCAGAAGTCAGCGACACATCCAAAGCCAAGGCTTTCAACCCCTCACAACACCACAGACCGGGAAACTTGCTGAGATCTGTGTCCCACCCTTGGGGGCTGCTGTTCAGTGATGGGTGTCCAGCCTCAATCAACTGGAAGTGTTTCATCAAACTGGAAACTTTCATTGCAAGTAATAGCAAATTTCCCCCAATATGAAGAGACTAGACTTAGCAAACCTGTGGGAAGACACTGGGCATACACCCAGTCCCACAGAACTGGGAGCAGAGCACAGGCGGGCATTCTCCTCCCCCTCCCCCTCCCCCCTCCCCCTCCTCTTCCTGTTTCCTCTCCTCCCTACCTTTAGTCTCCGGTTTTCTACTTTACTCTTTCGGGGAAACTGTAAGAAACCTATAAATTTAGCTTTTTTCTACTAGGGCGATTATTTTCCTCTTCACCTATATTTAGGTTCAAGGCCAGAGAATCTAGATTTACCATCCCCAGAAGTTGCTCATCTTCTCCAAAGGACTAGGTAAGAACTGTTAGTGAACTGCTGGGCCCCTGTCCTGAATCACACTGCTTGACTTTCTTCTTCAGCAATATTGTAACATGTCAATGACTCCCATTTCTGGAAGTTTCCTTCCATTTTTATGAAAAGTTTATGTCATCCACAAAAGTTCCCCACAGTAGAGCTGCATCTGCTTTCCAAGGTGAAAAATAGTCTGAATTTAAACACAGAAGGAAAACTCAAATTCCATGAAGGACTATTTATTTTTAAGAGGAGATAAAGGTGGCTCCCACTTTATTTCAAAGCTTAATAACAAGAATTTGTAAATTGTGGGGACTTCCACCAAGGTGGAGGTGTAGGTGAACACATTGTGCCTCCTCACACAACCAAGTTTAAAAACAACAAAGTTTTAGCAACAAAAACGCAGCCAAACCACAGATAATTGAACTATACGGAAGTCTGACAACAACGAACCCTTGAGCCAAACCAGTAAGAGGGGCAGAGCCAGCAGCAGAATGGGGTTGGGCAGGAAAGATCCACCAGACCGACTGGACATGTGACCCAGGCACGAAGGCAGTTGTGGGTGGATCCCAGGTGTGGAGTAGCAGCGGGCAGACCCACTGAGGGCTGACTGCGCATAATCACACATTTGCACACAGATAAACCTGCAAAGGAGCGAGCAGTGAGACAGACCGTGCAGGCCCCAGCAGTGGGAAGCAGCAGAGGGAACCACTATTGTCCCTCTCTGACCCAGCCCCCACATACAGCGTCACAAACCAGCAACCTGGATGGTCCCACCCTAGTGAACATCTAAGGCTCCTCTCCTCATACTAACAGGTGCGAACAGAGCAAAACACTATGGCTCAAGAACTCAAAGCCCCAGAGCCCACAACTCTAAGCCATGAAGAAACAGCCAAACTTTCAGATGCACAGTTCAAAACACTGGTGATCAGGATGCTCACAGAACTGGTTGATTTTGGTCACAAATTACATGAAAAAATGAAGGCTAAACTAATTGAAATGAAGGGAAATGCACAGGAAACCAATAATAATGGAAAGGAAACTGGGACTCAAACCAAGGAAATTGTCCAAAAGGAAGAAAAAAAATGACCAAACAGAAAAATACGAAGAAACAAGAATTCAAAAAAATGAGGAGAGTCTTAGGAACCTCCAGGACATCTTTAAACGTTCCAACATCTGAATTATAGGGGTACCAGAAGGGGAAGAGCAACAGCCACCAGTGGAAAAGTTATTTGAACAAGTAATAAAGGAGAACTCCCTCAATCTGGCAAAGGCAATAGACTTCCAGGAAATCCAGGAAGCTCAGAGAGTCCCAAAGAAGTTGGACCCATGAAGGAACACACCAAGGCACATCCTCATTATATTAGCCAAGATTTCAATGAAGAAGAGAATCCTAGAAGCAGCAAGAGATAAGGGGACAGTCACCTACAAAGGAGTGCCCATCAGACTGTCAGCTGATTTCTCAAAAGAGACCTTCCAGGCAAGAAGGGGCTGGAAAGAAGTATTCCAAGTCATGAAATCCAAGGACCTACAACCAAGATTGCTCTATCCAGCAAAACTTTCATTTAGAATGGAAGGACAGATAAAGTGCTTCTCAGATAAGATCAAATTCAAGGAGTTCATCATCACCAAGCCCTTATTATATGAAATGTTAAAGGGACTTATCTAAGAAAAAGAAGATAAAAAAATGAACAGTGAAAGGACAGCAAACTCACAGTTACTAACAACCACACCTAAAACAAAAGCAAACTATGAGGACAGCTAGATCAGGAGCAGAACCATAGAAATGAAGATCACATGGAGGGTTAGCAAAGGGGAGTGCGAAAAGGAGAAGGGGGGAGAAGGTACAGAAAATAAGTAGCATAGACAGTAGATAGAAAATAGGTAGGGGGAGGGCAAGAATAGTAGGGGAAATATAGAATCTAAAGAACTTGAGACATGTGGTCATAAACTAAAGGAGGGGAATGGTGGGGGAGGGGTGTGCAGGGTAGAGGAGAATGAAAGGGGGAATAGAACAACTATAATGGCATAATCAATAAAATATATTTTAAAAAAAGAATTTGTAAATTGTGATGAGAGATTAAGACTAGACAAACATTTATTGATGGCCTATTAGGTACCAAGCACTAGGCCAGGCACATTCTATATATGTAGCATGTATCATTATTTTAAATTTACAGGTGAGAAAAGCAAAAGCTCTCGGAAGTTGAATAACTTAAAAGAGTCACACGGCCAATAAGTATCAGAGTTGAGTTCTAAACGCATCCTCACTACACCGAGTTGCCGCTTGAAAAACACTAGGAAGTGGAGTTGAGGGAAGAGGAGGAGATCATCTTTTTCTTCCCAACCACTAAGTGTTGTATTGTAAGATCAGAACAACAACAGAAGACTTCAAGAGGTGTTCTGAAGGCCTTCTCGTCCTTCTCTGCTTACCAGAGTCAGACGAAATAACGGGTGATCCAATTCTGTTGTGGTGTGAAGCAGACGGTAATGAAAAGGTTGATACTGTATGCTGACTTTGTTTCGCTAGTGCAAACCAATCTTCTGTCTGAGTGTAGGTGGCCTGGGGAGAAGGAAGCATGTGAGTTTCACATAGGATTAGCAGTATTCTTCCAGTCGCAAACCTGGACAAATCAGTATGATGTGATTCAATATGCACTATACAATATGTAAGGGAAAAATTATGCCATGAAGGAAAAAAGGTTGGTTGTATGCAGAAAAATGTATTAGCGAAGAGAAAAATGGGAAGGAAATTTCAAATCAGATACTTTTCACATTAGACGACCAAAGGGAAAAAAATGAGCCCAGCACCCTCATTGTATTCTCCATTCTTCCATCCAATGCATACTGGATTCACTACAGATTCGTGCCATCTAACTCGAACTTGGCAGTCACCGTGACTCATCGGCCCTTAGATGCATCTTTGGGCAACTGCTCCCATTTACAACCTTCCCAATCATTCCATGCCCCTAATTCTGTCTGACCTGGCTCAGTGTTTTTAACAACTCCTCCCTGATACCACACAGGAAACGGCTCAGCTCAACTGCCAACCTGCCTTAGATTCAGCTTCCTCAACTTTGCTTCGAATGGATACTTCCTGAAAAACGATTCCTGACTCTACCTGCTCCAGGTTGTAGCCTTCAGTTTTTCCTTTGCTTGGTGACCCTTAAGTCAGTTGACCCAAAACCCAGGCTGACCCTCAGCTTCTAGAATCTGAGTCCTAAGAAGGCCCTTATCTTAGCCTTCCAGCGAAAATTCCTCTGCCTGACTTTCTTAGTAACATCCTCACCTGTTTTTCTCAGAGAATCCAAGTTTGTTCAACACAACTGAGAAGGGAGTTTCCAACATTACTCTCATTTCTTATTTCTCTTTTCTCCAAATGAATCAGCTGGTTGGCCCTCAGCCTAAGGAACACTCACAGGAGAGGCAGGGCTCAAAGGGAATATGTACAGTTTCCCGACTGTTGGGCAGAATCAGCAGTGCAAGCAAGGCCACGCAGTGAGAACAAACGCAGGAGAGAGAAATGAGAGTTAATGTGTTCTGGGTGGATAAAAGCTTTTCAGAGGACCAAACTTTTGCCACCCTAAAATATGCCTGTTGGGATATTGATCGTAAGCTGGTTATTAAAAAACAAAAAGACTCTGAAAGAACCTTTGACCCACCCCCTAACTTGCCTAAAGGAATTTTGGTAGAAAAACCTGCTTAAAGAAACAGTCAGACACCTTAGCATCATAATATTGTTACTGTCGGTATTTAACTAATTATTAATTTTAAAAGAGGGGAGCAAAGGGAATTAGATATTGAGCTTAATAAACTGGGGAGCAAGAGACTGCTTGCTCATCCAAGAAACTACAGCTTCACACCCCAGGGGATCCTAGCATTGCTCTGCCCAGGGGGTTAACACTCCTCCCTTCCTCCCTCCAGTACTGAGTGTTGGGGGCACATGGGGAGAAGCTTGACCAAAGAGACAGTCTAAATTTGGGGTGTATACCCATCCAAAGCCTGCAAAAGCTTGGGAAGTTGACTGGTCATTCTGAAAAAGCTTCCAGTCTTTTCCAAGGCTGAGATACGTATTTGCAGGGGAACAAAGAAACGAACTCTCTCTCTCTCTCTCACCTGCCACCATGCTCGGCCACTGCACTGAGGCGTTCTCTCTCCTTAGCCACGTGGCCTTAGCAGCTGCAGGGCCAAGGACCATGGGAACTCCAGACACAGGCTCCAGGAGGGAACCTGAACACTGCAGCACAGCAACAGGCTGCAGCTGCAAACACAGGCTAAACTAGCTGGATGCTGGACTGAACTGGACGTTAGTTAATATGGCAAAGGACCTCTAGGCAGTGGCTTTTATTCTGGCCCTACTGAAGACGAGATTGGACTTTTTCCATGGCAAAACAGACAGAGATGGAACATTACATCATCAATAAAGTTTACCCCATCCTCCCATGCGGGTCTCAGGAAATTCTTTTCTTTGCAACACCGCAAGAACTCCACCCCCCACTGATAATATTATGAACTAAAATGTGGCAGCCAGGAAGAAAGCTAGCAAAACCTGTTTGTTGAACTTCCTTCTGTGTCCCATTATTTCTGGGTGGCCCAGCAAAAATTTGTTTATCATGTTTTCTCTTTCTACCGGAAAGTAATTGCCTACTTTCCCTTGGAAACCCCAGACCACTGCCCTCCTTTTCCTTAGTTCAGAACAGCACATAAACCTCAACGGGCCAGTGCCCTGCAAGTCTCTTGTCTCATGACACCCCCACATGTACCTTGTAATAAATTTTGGACATTTTCTCCTGTTAATCTGTCTCATGTTAATTTGATTATTAGTCCAGCCAGAAGAACTTAGAAAGGTGAAAGAAAAATTACTTTTTACACCCCTACATTTTGAGAGACTCTAATTTCCTTTTATTCCCTCTTTTCCTTGTTTAAAACAAAGTCATTTATTATTATTTCTATGTCCTTTCAACATGTATTTATTGAGTGACTTCTCTATTCCAAGTCGTATCTTAGCCACTGAGAGGAGACCAAAGTAATCAGAGAATTTTCAAGGAATTGAGAGAGACCAACATACAAGAGTGCTTATTATTCCAGCTGCACAAAAAAAAGAGGGAGGAAGAAATAGTCAGACATATAAGCAATTAATTACTCCACTGTATAGTCAAGAGATGGGTCACTTGTTTATGTTTAGATGGTATAAATGAAGATTTAAAGAAATGTTACCAACCATCATAAAAATGATTCCCTATCTATAGTCATGGTTTAAATGATTTAGGGACCCAAAGAACATTGAATCCTTAAACTTAAAAAGCTATATCCATATGCAAGAATAAACTCAAAATCGATTAAAGACTTATAATAAATCTTAGACTCAATCATAAAAATCCTAGAAAAAAATACAGGCAGTAAAATCTTGGGCACTCCTAGTAGCAATATTTTTTTCTGATCTCAGGTAAGGGAAACAAAAAATAAACAAATGAGACTACATCAAATCATAAACAGCGTATGTATAGCAAGGAAACCATCAACAAAATGAAAAAGACAACATACTAAGAGGAAAAACATTCGCCAATAATACATCTGATGATGTTTAATACCCAGAATTTACAAAATCTTATATATAAAACTCAACACCAAAACAATTCAATTTAAAAAATAATACTTTAGCCCTGGCTGGTGTGGCTCAGTGGATTGAGTGCCAGCCTCCAAACCAAAGGGTCGCTGGTTCAATTCATGTCAGGGTACATCCTGGGTTTCAGGCCGGATCCCCAGTTGGGGGTACGTATGAGGCAACCACACATCAATGTTTCTCTCCCTCCCTCTTTCTCTCTCTCTCTCCCTGCCCCTCTCTCTAAAACTAAATTTTTAAAACAAATTTTAATAAAAATAAAAAATGATGTTTATTCAATAAACGGTGTTGGGAAAATTGGATAGATACATGCAGAAAAATGAGATTAGACCACCTTCCTACACCACGCACAAAAATAAATACTAGATGGATCAGAGACTTAAATGTTAGACCTGAAACCATAGAAGTTCTAGAAGAAAACACAGGCATCAAAATCTCAGACATTGCTCATAGCAGTATTTTATCAAATATATCTCCCCAGGCAAAGGAAACAAAAGAAAAAAATAAATCAATGGGACTACCTCAAGCAAAAAGTTTTTGCACAGCAAAGGAAATCATCAACAAAATAAAAACACACCCCACAGAATGAGAGAACATATTCACCAATATATCTGATAAAGAGTTAATATACAAAATTTATTTAAAAACTTAGAAAACTCAACGCCAAAAAAGCAAACAACCCAATTAAAAAATGGGCAAAGGACCTGAATAGACAATTCTCTAAAGAGGACATACAGACGGCCAATAGACATATGAAAAGATACTCAACATCACTAATCATCAGAGAAATGCAAATTAAAGCCACAATGAGACATCATCTCACACCTGTCAGAATGTCTATCATTAACAAATCAACAAACAATAAGTGCTTGCAAGGATGTGGAGAAAGGGGGACCCTTTTCCACTGTTGCTGGGAATGCAGACTGGTACAGCCAGTGTGGAAAGCAGTGTGGAGATAACTCAAAAAATTAAAAATAGAATTGCCTTTTGATTCAGCTATCCCACTTCTGAGAATATATTTGAGGGAACTCAAAACACAAATTCAAAAGGACATGAGCACTCCTATGTTCATTACAGCATTTTTATAATCACCAAGATATAGAAACAGCCTGTGTCGATCTGCAGATGAGTGGATAAAACAACTATGGGACGTTTGCACACTGGAATACTACTTGGCGAAAGAAAGGAGAAAATTTTACCCTTTGGGACAGTATAGATGGACCTGGAAAACATTATGCTAAGTGAAATAAGCTAGTCAGAGAAAGACAAATACTATATGATTTTACTCACATTTGGAATCTAATGAACAAACTGAACTAACAAAGAAAATGGGGAAGCCCTCCTGAGGAATGAGGGGTCCCACCCAGGGTTCCCTCTCCAGCCCAGGGTTCCAGTCCCAAGGACAAAAGTACCTATAACCACCAGCTGCAAAACCCAGCAGGGATTGTGGCTGAGTGACATAAAGGCTTCCAGAGTCTCAGGCATTCCTCTTAAAGGGTCACACACAGACTTTACTTGAACTGACTTGCTCTGAGCTCCAGTGCTAGGGCAGCAACTCAAAAGGTGCCAGGAACATACTGGAAAGAACTAAGTAGTCTGACTTCAGGGCACGAGCTACAGGAACAGCTTTATTCCAGACCAAAGTGCCGGCAGTGGCCATTGTCCCTTTGCTGAACCCTCCATTGCAGGCACAGGTGGGCCACATATCTGAGTGTCCATCAACCTGGCTAACACTGATCACCCTTCCCTGGTGATTTCCTGAGACCCTGCCCCATCCAACTTGTGAGACCACCCAAGCCACTTCCCGTGGATTTTCCAGATAAACAGCCTGTCTCAGTTCATGCTATGAACTTGCCTAAATTTTCTCAAAGGTGCACAAACCCCAAATTAGTAGCATCTGGCCTCAGCATGACCTGTACCTCTTGCTAAGCAGCCCCAAACTCAGCACTAGCAGCAGCCAGCCTTAGTATGTGCCTTAGCTTACCCTGGCACTTTCAAGCCCAGCACTAGTAGCAACCATTTGCAGATCATTTTTAGCTCATGCCAGGTGGCCCCAGGCAGGGCACAGGCAGAAGCTGAATCTGGCCTGCGTGAGAGCCCCTACAAAGAGGCCCCAGAACCAACACATGCAGTGCTCAGCTTCGGACTACACCAGAGCACCACCCAACCACCTCCACAAACAAACAACCGAAAGGGAAGACTCAGCAGGCATCAGAGCCCTGCTAAAGCGAATACTGCCTTGTCAGGTTAACTCCTGCACAACAGCTCCTCCACCATAGGCACAGGTAGTCCTCACAACCAATCAATGTAAGGATCAATCCCTTCCACTGATATGCCAACAGAAATCAAGGCTCAGCTACAATAGGAGGATTCACACAACCTACGCAAGGGACACAGCTGGAGTGCCCAGTTCAGGTGACCAGGGAGACTGTGCAATGGGCCCCACAGGACAGCTACTACATAAGGCCACTCTACCAAGACTGGGAGAAAAAGCAGATCTAACTAATACATAGAATCAAATACAAGGAGGAAGCCAAAACTAGACAAAGAAATATGCCTTAAATAAAAGAACAGCAAAACTTTCATTTAGAATGGAAGGATAGATAAGGTGCTTCTCAGATAAGATCAAATTCAAGGAGTTCATCATCACCAAGCCCTTATTATATGAAATGTTAAAGGGACTTATCGAAGAAAAAGAAGTTAAAGAAACATGAACAGTGAAAGGACAACAAACTCACAGTTATTAACAACCACACCTAAAATGAAAGCAAACTAAAAGGACAGCTAGATCAGGAGTGGAAACATAGAAATGAAGATCTCAAGGAGGGTTAGCAACAGGGGAGTGGGAGGAGGAGAAGGGGGGAGAAGGTACAGAAAATAAGTAGCATAGACAGTAGATAGAAAATAGATGGGGGGGGCAAGAATAGCATGGGAAATATGGAATCTAAAGGAATTGAGACACATGGTCATAAACTAAAGGGGGGGTAATGGTGGGGATGGGGGGGTAGGGTGGAGGGGAATGAAGGGGGGAATAGAACAACTGTAACAGTATAATCAATAAAAAATTTTAAAAAAAAGAACAGAACAAAGCTCCAGAAAAAGAACTAAATAAAGTGGAGACCACAATCTACCAGATGCAGAGGTCAAAACACTGGTTATAAAGATGCTCAATGGTCTCATAACTTAACAAGAAATGAAACACAAAAATGGAGATAGAAAATATAAAAAAGGACCAGCCAGAAATGAAGGATATACTAACTGAAATGAAGGCTAATTTATAGGGAATCAACCATACAGTACATGAAGCTGAGAATCAAATCAATGATTTGGAATATAAGGAAGCAAAATAACACCCAATCGAAAGAGAAAAAAGAATACCAAAAAAAATGCCCTGTATTATCCATAACCTGCCTGCCACCAGGGAGTCAGATCTTTCCAGACAGGAGCTTGCTCATACTCCAGATTGACCAGTATTCTAATAGGCCCTATTTCTATGCTTCAAATTCCTGCTCATATATTTCTTTTGGGCCAGTGTGAGCAGGCAGATGGACTCAAATATCGGAGTCCAGTAACAGTTACAGAATCTAAATAACAAAAATTTGCATAGAACAATAAAATCATGGACATAACTCGTTACCCAGGCTTCCCAGGTGACACTGAGCACGTTCTTCAGTCTCGCATCTGTTCCTTCACACACATGAGGACAGGAATTCTCATTACACTTCGGGTGAAAGAGTGCAGGGCAAGCGAGTCCATGTAAATCCACAAGGATTTTTGCTAAATCTGCTTTCAGAAGTATTTGAAATAATTTTCCCTGTGTGCAAGGGGTACAAATGGAATCCATGTTCCTAAAATAAGAAGCTTTATTGGAGTGCCAAGTCACAAAGAAACATTCATACGTTTACCTCGCCAAGAGAAACGTAGAACTTTTTCATAAGGACGGTGTTGTCATCTTCAGCGGGAGGCGGCGGTGGAGTGGGTGGTTTTCTCAGGACCCAGGGAGAAACGTCTGTATCTAGCGTGATGTTCGTGCCTTCTTTACTCCATCTCACTTGTGAAACCAGTTTGGCCAACCTGCATTGTAGAAAGCATACAAATCTGAAGAAAGTTTCAAGTGTAGTAGAATTCAAAAAAAAAAAACCAGACACTAAAATTTTATTTTACATATTCAAGCCAATCTCCCTAACTCTGTGAGATGATTCTCTTAGGATCTGCTAAAATTAATGGCTTATTCATAGAACTGCTAATTAGTCAATAAGTATTCTAATTTGTTTTATTTTTATTTAACAATGATTATTATAAGAAAAGGCCAGATTTCAGTAAAACTTCAGAATGTTTGGGTACTTTATGAGTCAGGGCACACAGAAGATAAACTTCAGTCTGCACTATGACATTCTGTCTTTTTCATGACGCACTTATTTTCATTTTTAATACCCTGTGCATAAATCCCATTATCATGTAATAAGTAGATAATTTTCAAAGCAGAATGATCAAAGCAGCGCAGCTGTCGTGCACGTATCAGGTGCTGTTTCTGTGAAATCTCTTAGTAAAAGCTACATGATTTTTTTAAACGAATGGTGTATCATTCTTATATTATAGCCAGTAGGGTCCACACTCCCATGGATTTAAACACACTTTATTAAGAAAGAACAAAAAATAATTTTGGATAAAAAATAGGCATTTAAAAAACATGTATATTGATGGAACTACAATACCTGTATTCAAAATAGCAATCACTTTCCAGAAATGCTGGAAGTCTTTCTTTCTTGATCCACTGAATACCTTGCTCACGACTGAGACACTAATTGAGGACATGTGAGAGAAAAAGAGTGTCAAGGAAAAATCACCTTTTAGGACGTTCAGGGCCTAATCATTAGAGCGATAATGACCTCCAGCCGTTACAAGGAGCCCTGTCTCTACCTTCTGTTTGCACAAGAGCAAGAACGGGGAGTCACAGATGGAAGGGCCACTTCTTGCCTTCTAGGGCTGCTCTAATTCTCTCAGCAACCCTGCATCAACCATCATCTCCACATTACGGATTAGCAAAATGAATCCAGCAAAGTTAAGTAACTACTGAAGCAGGAGGAATGAGAGGAAATTCTGTTCATCTCCGTATTTTCTTTGTTATAAATTGGGTTAAAATAATCACAATCAGGAAAAAAAGTTAACCAGAAAACTTGGTAAAGACAACTATGGTCACCAAAAGCCCTTTGTCCTTCTAATTTTAGGAAATTTTGTTAAATATTGACCTCCCCAAGCACTTTCCTGCAGATGCAAAGGTAAATAAGAACGAGAAGGCCCGTCCTTGCAGTTTCCAGAGAACGTAACAGGCAATAATAGCCCAACGCTGTAAGGGCCAGTTCAGGGCCAGTTCAGGCTTCTGTGGGAGGTCACCGGGGTGCTGAAACAGCACAGGTTTCCCCCAGAACATGCCACTCACTCTTTGACCTGAAACATGATTACCTAGGTTGAAGAGAAGGGGAGCAGGAGAGGAAACAGATAAATTTATTATGACTAGGTCACAGGCAGGGGTTGGAGAGATGGCAGGAGGAAGGCCGAAGAGGTAGGCAGGGGCCTGATTATGAACAGTCTTTTTTTTTTTGGTCAAGTTCCTTACTTTTTTTTTAACTTTTTTTTATTGCTTACACTGTTACAGACGTTCCCATTTGACCCCCACTTTGCCCTTCTCCCCCCAGCCCTTCCCTCAGGCCATCACCACACTGACGTCAGTGTCCACGAGTTACACACCTAGGTTCTTTGGCTAATCCCTTCACCTTCTTCCATCCAGTCTCCTCGCCCCCCTCCTCCTAGACAGCTGCCAGTCTGCTCCATGTGTCCATGACTCTGTTTCTATTTATTCGTCAGTTTATTTTGTTCTTTAGATTCCACATATAAGTGAGATCATATGGTGTTCGTCTTTTACTGACTGGCTTATTTCACTTAGCATTTGTGGTGACAGTTTGTGAAAATACTGGTTATTGATGTGGTTTATTTTATTTCTATTTTTATTGAATTTATTGCAGTGACACTGGTTACTAAAATTACATAGGTTTCAGGTGTACAATTCTATAATACATCATCTGTATATTGTAATGTGTGTTCACCACCCCAAGGCAAGTCTCCTTCTGATGTGGTTTGATTAAAATCTACCATCATATTTCTACTTGCTACATATATTCTTTGTTCCTTTTCCTTCCATTTTCTGGTTTTGGGTTTGAGTATTTCTTTTATAAATCTGCTATTATTATATTATTTATTCTTTCAAAAATGATTAAATTATTACCCTAGTGTTTATAATATGTTTAGTAAATGTCTTCAAAACACCTTCAAATATATCAAATAAGGTCACCTAGTAGATGTTTTAGAAATTTGTATCCAGACACATAAATCAAGCAGCTCCTTGTATACAAATATCTAATCCAGGGGTGTCGATCTCAGATTCATTGGGGGTCACATCAGCCTCATGGTTACCTTCAAAGGGCTGAGTGTGATTTCAACTTCTTAACAGTTAAGTTTACACAGTCCTAAAATTATTTCGGCCCTTTCAAGGCAACCTCGAGTCTGATGTGGCCCCCACTGAAAATGAGTTTGACACCCCTGACCTAAATGTTACATTGTACACCTGAAACTAATATAATGTTATGTCAGTTATATCACAATAAAAAAGAAGCTCCTAAACAGCTTTTGTTTAACAATAAAAAAGGTGATAAAAACCTGCATGAACTAAAGAAATTTCTATTCACTGAAGAAAGTGAATGAATCAATAAACCTCTTTGTCACACCTAGTAAAAAAGTGTTTGAATTGACAATTTATATATTCTTATATAGTTCAGAATGAATTTCTTTGTTTTAACTTCAGAACAATGCTATAATATAGTTATTATTACTACTACTTTTATTTTTGGTACTTAAAAGACATATATCTTTTAAATAAATGCTATCGTTATTGCATTTAATTGCATGGAAGTAAACAAAAAGAGAAATATGTAAAAGAATGGAACCTGCAGGCTGGAGAAGAGCTCTGTCTCAAGTGTTTGACATATGGGACCCGACTTCTATAAGACATTTTAAATCAGTAAAAAATGGTGCTGTTAAACATTCATTATCATTTTCATTCGATCCACAAAACAAACCTAAGTAGTGGGTAGCACAGCCATCATTTGACATCTTTTGACCATGATAATGAGGTTCATCAAAATGACTTGTTCAAGAACACACAGCTAGTAAGTTGAGAGACAATATGAGAACCCAGGTTTGGGGTTTTGTTTTTGTTTTTTTACCCTCATGCTAAGAAGACAAACTCCAGAGCTGAGAGTAAAATTTAAAGCCAGGCATGCCACAGCCACACCTCATCACCTGAAGATCAGAAATCTCAATTCTTCCCAGTTGCTTAACAAGATAGAACCCAAATGGAATAAATTCACTGCATACCCACATTTTCTAGAATACATATAAATACAACATAAAGGATGCACACTAACCTAAGATTCTAAATATTCAAGGTAAAGTACACAAACCTCCTCATATTGATAATCAAATGTCAACAAAACTAGTAGACAAAATTGGCCATTTAATATGAATAAGATGATACAACAGCTAATACTATGTGTAAGTACAATAAAATGTAATAAGTACAGCTACTCAGAAAGGGGAGCCCAAGGAAACTCGCATTAATCTCAACTATGCTTTAAGTACCTAGAGAGATATAAACTCCAATGTACTTTCTTACCATAATATTGTAGTTGACATTAATGGTCTCATCTTCATAGGGGACATTTACTTGAACAGGCTGAACATCTTTCTTCCCTTTCCTTACAACATCATAAATGGGATTTCGAGGTTGCTGGTGTTGCAGAATTTTTTTCAGTTGCTTTTCCAGAAGTTGTGGGGCATTGTTAATTACTTCAAAAACTCCGTAATCTGCATTAAATCTAATTGCCTCTGAAAAGGTCTGCAAAATAAGTTGTGGAATTATGTCTTTCAATTTTTAAAATCCAGAAACTCACTGTCCCTAAGACTTAGTACTTACACACACACACACACACACACACACACACAGTTTTGTTTTTAATCATTTCCTCTTCCCTTTAGGAGCTTGGAAATCTACTCACTACAGGTAAAGGAACCCACTGAACCCTTCCTTCCCAATGACCTCATAAGTGTCAGGGTGTGTTAGGGTATATTACAACAGACATTCCCTTTGCATAAGCATCTTACCTCTACTGCTTCTCAGCCTGTTGGCTAAGATCAAGTGTAGTATCTGTTATAGGTTGACACAGCTTACCTCTGTGTTTTTTTGGAACTGGAAAGAAATACCTAATCTCTATGAAGCAATGTTATTCTCTTAGAAAGGGGGTGAATTACTAGAGAAGAATGAGTAAAAGAAGAAAAAATAACACTCCTGTTATCTTTTTCATCCCAGGAGCCACGAAAGCTAAAGCCTCCCTTGTCCAAAAGGAAAAAATGAAATACAATATGTTCTTCATTTAAGACTATTTCAACACCATTCCTTTCACTCTGACAAAAAAAAGAAGAGTGAAAGATAACATTTCTGAGCTTTTCTCAGTAATTACTAAATGCTGCCAACTTTTAATTTATTTTTTACTGAATTTACTGGGGTGACAATTGTTAATAAAATTATACAGGTTTCAGGTATACAATTCTACAATACATCATCTGTATACTGTGCTATGTGTTTACCACCCCAAGTCAAATCTCCTTTCATCACCATATCTACTCCCCTCTTTACCTACTTCTACCTCTCCCTACCCCCTCTTTCCCTCTGGTAATCATCATACTGTTGTCTGTGTCCATGACACTTTCTCTTCTTTCTCTCTGCTGACTGCCAGCTTTTCTTTAATGTCAGTCAGTTAATATACAACAGTCAGGAGTCTTGAGTCTGCCAGCTTGCCTATAAGTCACACTGTGACTCTCAGTAAACCTCTGAATATGTTTGGGGTCTCCACTTCCATAACAAGCACAGGGTAAATGGGCTGTGTCTTTCCTGTTTGTCCTCCAAACCTAGAATGAGGTCCCTTTTTCAAAACATCAATTTATTTTAGGATACCTTCGGTGAATTGCCTATTCGTGTATATTAATTTACATATTTTTAGCCAGGTAGTAAAAGACCTTAAAGTCTTCACCTTGGATTGATCCCTGTCCTAGAAAAAACAGCACTTCTTTCAAGTTTTACTAAGAGATTGCTAGATATACTACATATAGTTAAAATCTAATAAATGGCAGGATGTTGTAAAATTGGAGTTAGAAATACATGTACATATGTGTAAATATCCATATATTGTGTATATATATACATATTTTTTTTACTTATTCATTTTAATGGCAGATGATATTGCATCCCTGAAGTCTCATGGTCTCTCCTTCTACAGAACTTAGAGTACGCGGACAATAGAGTTCAATATGAACATCAGGCCACAGTTCAAAGGGCCTCAAAGCTAAAATTTCCCCTCAAATGACAAGTGTAGCTCATTGGATAAGTAACAATATTGAGCAGTAAATTCTGAATAAGGTTTCTTGAATAAATATATTTCATTGACCGCCCACTGCATCTGTCTTTCAAACATTAGATTCAAACAGGCACCACTTACCTAAAAGTCAAATATTCTTTATCTCTGAATTATACAATCCCTAGACTAAAACAGACATATGAGTCTGTTGATATCAGAGACCAGGTTCACCTGGTTGAAGAGAGGAACTGAACCAAGCTTGGTAGACAGTGGACATCAAATATTAGCCTGGTGGGGGGGGGGGCAGGTAGACGGAGCAGTGCAATGGAAAGAGCATCTGGAAAAGATTTCTTCCAGCTCTGAGTATCCGTGGAACAAAAGAACAAGCTTGATCTTTATTTATTGTTTTCCTTTCTTTTTTTCTGCCTCCTACCCTCACACCTGGTAGCCAGAGGAACACAAAGCTGTGATAATCCAAAGCAAAGAATGCCAATTAGTCCTATGGACAAATGAAATATTTCCTGTTAATCAAGTAAAAAATGCTCAAGTTAAAAAAGAAAACAGAGGGTCTGTGACACTCTGAGACCCTCAGTAGCCAATTTTAGGATCAAGGTTATAGAAACAAGTCTGTCTGGTCCCAAAGAAAGCACATTTCCCCTTCTTTACTGTATTGCCTCACATATGATAAAACTAGCAACTAGCATGTGCTGACCATCTTCTCCATACCAGGACTGTGCTAAGCATGACCCCATGAAGTTAGTGGAGCTGGGACTCAAAAACAAAGGTGTTTGGATCCCAAAGCCTGTGTTCTGGTTTTACCAGTAAAGGCACAGAGGCACAGAGCAGCATGGTGTATGTGGGTAATTTCAAGCAGTTCAGTGCCATTGGAATAGAACTAGAATAGTTTTATAGGTGGCAGAGTTTAAGAAACAGAGAAGAAAGACTAGACATAGATGAGGAAAATAGGACCAGATCATGGAAGGCTTTGCATGTCATTTACGGAGTAGTCCCTCAGACCGATTTGTGTTTTTGGAAGACTCTCCTTATCGCAGTCTGGAGTTTTGCTGGCCAGCCCCTGAGCTGGTGAGACAGACTGCTCCCATGCCCCAGGCAGAGCCGTCACCACAGTCTGAGGAAGCTAACTGTGCCCGCAGAGCTACAGCTACTGTGACCAGGTTTAGTGTGGTAGTTATTAACTCTCTGGATGGGTCACTGTCCTCTTCACACATAGGGGCCAAAGCAGGTGTTAAGTCAGATAGTTAGCAATTACTTTTATTTTCAACTCACAAAGCAAAACTGCAACTTCCAGTCAAGATGGCAGCACAGGTAAACGTAGCTTGCCTCGGGAGCGAGGAGTCCCAGACCCACACCAGGACCCCCAGACCAGGGTTCCAGTGCCCAAAAGGTAAGTCCCCACAACTTCCGAGTGCAAAAACCAGTGGGTATTGAGTCGGTGGAAGAAACTTCTAGAGTGCCAAGCAGTTCCTCTTAAAGAACCCACACATAGACTTACTCAGACTCACTCCCTCTGAGCTCCTGCACCGGGGAGAAACTGAAGTTCCTGGCATAAGGCAAGAGCCGGGGGACAGCTTTCTCTTAGACAGAGAGGTGGGCAGAGGCCGTTGTCCCTTTTCTGAACCCTCCCCTCACAGAGACACAGAGCTGGCAGGTGGGTGCCGTATCTGAGACTCCATCAACCTGGCTGACACTGTTTGCCCCCACACTGGGGATTCCCTGAGGCTTCATACCACCCAATTTACAGCTGTTAACAGTGGCTTTTCCACATGAATGGCTGGTCTTGGCTCCTGCTTCACAACTTCCTAAATCCACTCAAACAAGCAACAGCCTGGCCTCAGTGAGCCTCCAGCTCCCTTACCTCTTGCTAAGTGGCCTGAGGCACAGCACTAGCAGCAGCCAGTCTAGGTTCACAGCTTGGCTTCACCTGGGAACCTTCAAATCCAGCAAAAGTAGCAACCATCTCAGATTGCTTTATAGCTCAGGCAGGGTGGCTCCGGGCAAAACACAGGTGGGGGCTGACCTTGGCCTGGGGGTGGGGAAATCTTTCCACAAATATCACAGTAATCCTAGAATATTCTATCTAGTTTAGTTATTGTACTTTAAAAGAAATTTGGCTAAGGTAGAATCTATCTAGAAAAGGATACACAAAATGATTAAATGGAAGAAATGTTGGGCAAATTACTTCACTTTTCTGAGATTTCTCATATAAAGAATTTTAATAAAATAACCCCAAGATGCTTTTTATGTTTGACACCCAATCAGTCCATGATTATCTCCCCAGGAAAAAAACAAGTCTTTTCTGGCCTCTAATAAGACCGCCAATCCCACTGTTCCTTTGTTAGCTCATTAATTCCTTCAATAAGTATGTACTGAATCCCTATTCAATGAGAAATTGTGACAGATGATGTATCGCTACATTAAGTGAGCCAATCCAGACCATCCATAAAGCCCCAAGTCAAATGTGCGAGGCGGGGATCAGGCCTGAAAGGACGCTAACCTAGCAGAAGAAAGACATGAGATACACAGAGACGTGAACACTCACCCACGAGGGGATCAGACTCTGCAGCCAGCACATTAAGTGAAATCATATTCAGTCAAAAGCATCCCTTGAAAACAGCAGTAAAGTATGACACTGTCCTGTCTTCTAAGAAGTTGATTGCAGTTTTTCTACTGGTGTTGTAATGGGTCACTGATTCTTCAGTTAGGGACCAGATAAAGTGTTGGCTCGAGCTTAAAGCTCACATTGTACTCATGTTATACAAAAATAAGTATTTTTTAACACTAGAATCACCCTCCACTGTGATTCTAAGATGACCACACTGTGAGAGGCACGAAGCAAGAGACCCATTGAGGGAATGGCAAATTCTGGTCTTCCATCTCACAGCCTCCCCAGGAATGCATGGATTGCTGTATTTGTGTATACGGGTTGCTACAACAGACAAAATCACCCTCACCCTTTACACCACCCCCGCTCTCTCTGCAGAGCACAGAGAATTCATTTTGAGTGATAATGCATGTAGGTTGCGACTCCACCTTAACGCACAACAGTAGCCTCAGGAGAAGTGTGTACAAACTGCAGTGATGACACAAAAGAATTAATTAACTATCTTCTGGAAATAAGGAGGTTGTAAGAGGAAGTTGGGTCTTGAAGAATGAACAGTCATTCTGGTCTGGTAGATAAGGGAGAAAGGGAATTCAGCCAAAGAAATGCAAATGCATCAACACAGGAAGGCACAAAAGGATAGAGCAGCTTTGATGAACTGCAAGCAGTCTGACATTGCTGAAGCTTCATATCCAAGGGGAGAACAGCAGAACACAAGCCTGGAGAGAAAGGCAGAGGACACGTTCATCAAGGACATCATTTTTGTTACATGCTGTAATTCTCTGCTTACTCTCTCAAATCAGTGGCTCTTGGAGTGCGGCACCTGGACCAGCAGCATCAGCATCATCTGGACACCTGGAGAAA